ACAGAAGAAAATACACTAACTATAGCTAAGATTTGAAAACTTGTACGGCAAAAAAAACAAAGATTTATCTTTCAGTGCAAGTATTGGTTTTTAAACGTTTCTTTTAGTATTTGTTCTGTTTGACCTATAAAACATGTCTAATAAACACGTTCAAAATCTCTGGTCAAATGCTCAAACTGACTTATCTCGTCATTTACAATCAGAACTACGGGGTCCAAAAGGATTTGAATCAAAACAAATTGCCAATGATTATGTTCGAAAGTTATTCTTAGAATACAACTGGATATTAAAAAAGTTAGATGAGGTTTTTTCAACATTAGTACATCCTCAAAAACGTCTTGTTGTTCGAATGTTACTCGACGGATGCGTGGGACGTCTAATTGAACTAAAACAAGAAATGATTAAATTTGATAGTTGTGAATATACATATTTCGAAGATATAGCAATCGATCACCATAAAACATTGGTAAATTCAAAATATCAGTCAGTGTACTCATTTATTAGATATCAAATATGATTTTAGGACGATTTAAGAGTTGATGTGCCACAGTACTTTACACAAGAACGATGGAAAGCTATTGAACAACGGAATGCAAGTATCCAACGGATTTTAGATAAGACCAAAGATTTAACAGATAACAATGATGTAGGTTACATGACTCAGTGTTTTGTATGAAACATTAATCATTTTGTCATATTGAATTTAGATTGAATCATCAAATATCATATTGTTAGCTCAAGCAGTACGTGTTCTTCAGGCACACGAACGAGCTCGACAAGCACGTGTTCATGCTTTTTTCATGAAAAAAATGAAGAACGAATTGAAAAAACCCGAAGAAAAGTTGAAGACAGATGTGAGGGAACTCAATGTCGCCTGTCGAATTATACAAACGGTTTGGCGGCAAAAACATGCAGAAAAATTATTGAGTGAAAAAAAAGATGATGAAGCAAAATTGTTAGGAATGGTATTATTTTTAGTTTTGTAGAAAATCAATTAATATTAAAATTAATAACAGAAATATGATAACACTATAATTTATAATGAGAGATGCTTCGTCTTTGTTTAAAAGCATGCGTTCTTCTCGTTAATTATGCACGACAGAGATTAAGGCATCAATTTTTTTGATCACCAAATTCTTTAGATATAAATGATCACCAAAGTTTTTAGCATGCATCTCACATTTTGATTTCTTAACAAAGTACAGTGTACAACACAAACATATTCATCGAGATTTTAACCAAACGAACAATATTTTTACAGTTTTATTTATATCCATTTAAAAAATTTAAAGCTGTGCTAACTTTCTTGGGACGCCCTTTTGCTTTTCGTTTGCCTAATGGTTGAATACGTGATTTATCACTAACTTGATACAAGTTAAATAAAATTGCTAATCCAACAGAATGTTTACACGAATACACTAATAATAGCACAACAAGCCAACAGGATTGTTGCCACATCAGAAAATCATTGAATATAATCCACCGACGAGAAGGATAAATATCTAGCCAATAATACAATCAATAGTTTGCTGGTGTGGCAACAATCCTGTTGGCTTGTTGTACTATTATTAGTATATTCGTGTAAAGATTCTGTTGGATTAGCAATTTTATTTAACTTGTATCAAGTTAGCGATACAACACGTATTCAATCATTAGGCAAACGAAAAGCAAAACGGCGCCGCAAGAAGATTAGCACACCTTTAAACTTTTTAAATAGATATAAATAAAACTGTATTTATAACTCCATATTGTTCATTTGATTAAAATCTCAATGGATATGTTTGTGTTGTATATTATACTTTGTTGAGAAATAAAAATATGATAATGCAGGCTGAAAATTTTGGTGATCAAAAGTATCTTTTTTTTGGTGATCATTTGTACCTAAAGAATTTGGTGATCAAAAGTACATTTACTCAAAGTTATGTGCAAATTGTCACTGTTAAATCTGAATTTTTATCTTGCGTTTCTCTACGAAAAAAAAACGGAAGAATTATTCGTCGCGTCGATCTTTTTTCTCGTTCTGTCTGTGGAAGCTATATATGCAATTCCTGCGTGTTACAGGCGCACTGAACAAGACGTTTTCAGTATACAAAAACAGTCCAACGTGATTAGACATGTGCGGTAACGGTAAAAACGTGTTACCGTTACCGACACTTTGGTAACAACTTCAAATTTTTACCGCGGTGATTCGAAATCGGTAAAAAGTCTCAACATTTTACCGCGGAAACCTTCAGTAAAAAAATCCTTTATCGTTACCGCTCATGTGCACATTTAGTGTGCCCCGGGCACATTTTATTTTTTACAGTGCAGAGATTCCAAAAAGGGTATCTCGGCATGGAAATACCCTTTTTTGGTTCTGTATGATACGAAAATATGATTCGAAAAGTAAAAAACGATTTTTTTTAAAATTTCCAAGCAATTGTCTCGAATTTCTCCGAATACTTATCGAATTCAATAAAACAATATCAAATTTATTCTTTTCGTTGTTTCATATATATGTCAATCTGTAATACGAATTATTTTATTATAAAATATGTACTTACATTTAAAGTATGTATTAAACAGATGATTAAGTAAATGATCTAATTACGAAATAATTTCGTAAAAGAGTTTTTACACTAGCTAATGTCCATAGCGAGAAAAAAGAGTTTCGTAAGACACTAACTACAATCTCCTAACATCCCTTTAGTATTTATTATGTTCAAACGATTTTTGATCAGACAACTGAATGATGAATGAATTGATACTGTTTAATATCATTTTTATTTAAAATGTCAGGTTTTCATTTACTGAAAAACTGAAGATCTTAAAAAAAAAAAAATTTGATGAGTCTAGACCGTCTAGTTAATTGAATATTCAAGGGAGTCAAACTTACTTAAAGAATATTTTTAATTAAATTTATATGCGTTTTACCATCGTTCAGAGAATAACCTTTTTTTTATTGTTTTTGTGCACGCTATTGAGCGAGTGAGAAAATATTTTATTACAAAAAAAATATAGTAAAAAAATTCTAAAAAAAGACAGAAAAGAATATTTTATCTTGCTCTTAATCAACTTGTTTGAAGATTTTTCACATTACGTATCTTCATACATTTGATAATTATTTCGATGATTGCTTAAACGTTTTGATTTTGGATAATAGTAATCTCCTACTTGTAAAGGTTTCACGTAGTCTTGTGGATCTGGTTCAGTCATTATTAAGCGTCCAGTATGATCTCTTGTCTATCAAATAAGATAGATAAGAGAACTTTACTACAGATATATATGTCGAAAGAGAGAGAAAAACTTTATACTCACCCAATTATTTTTAGGCTTTTCAAAACTTTGATTAACATTGTGTCGTCGATTTGTATAACTTGGTGCACCACCTCCACCTCTTCCCCACCAATTATTCATAGATTCTGTATGCTAAAAAATATAAAAATATATTAAAATATTCGTCGACGTTTTCCTGGCTTTATTCCTACTTGAAGGTCTTGTACATTATTATGCATTCTATTTAATTTGTGATAACGAGCTCGCTCTTCTGCTTGTTGAACTAAATCATCATGAAGAGTACGACTACTATCCGATTTAAATCGTCGTGCACCTATATTCTAAAATTAAGGTGAACACCATTTTAACCTCTATGATATATACAGTTTAAATTAGTCAACATCATTTTCTTACTTCTCTTGTTGTGTCCGTCGTTGGTAATGATTTTCTTAATGGATATCGATAATATTCCAAATGGTTAATCCAATCAGCTGTATCACCAGCCTAAAATAATAGACTGATGAAAAAACAAAATCAGAAATGTTTATTAACAAATTGTACTAGTATAGGTACAATAGTATAGGTACATAGGGCGTGATAATATCTATCAGAATAAAAATATGCGTTCGTCAAAGACAGACTCTTTGTTTCGAATAGAAATCCTAATTGAGTAAGTAACTTTCTTCTTCATGTTTCACACACGCATATGCGATTTTCATTTACAATATATAGTACAATTGGAAGATGTAAATGATTTATAGCTACTAAAAAGCAAAAAAAACGATCCTATCTTTTCTGCTATGTTTATAAATTTGTACCTTGTAAAGCCAACGTCTCAATCCTATCACGTCAATATTACCATAACGGTGCGATTAAGCTCGAGTGAAGGCGTGCGCATATCCAATTAAACGTAATCTAACTGATAGTAAATATATTGTTTTGGAAAAAATATTAGAAAAATCTACTTTCTGTTCATTTTCTATTGAAAATACATCTAAATATTGGCACAACATCAACTTTAACGGAAGAAAATCCTCCGAGTGGAGAGAGGAACTAGTAAAAAAAGCGGAAAACATCTACGCAAAATGACAATGAACCAAAAAATCAAGCAGTGATCACATTTAACGCTCAACAGCAATGACAGATGCTACAATTCAAATCAACACCCCAATCAACACCACTCATTGCACAAGGTATCAAATTTACAAGGTTTCACTAAACGATTTCATCAAATTAAGAATGCCAGACGTCAGATTATCCGAGATACAATCGAACTGAAACGGCGCATTTACAATTCTTGATAGTGATGCTAAAAGTTATAAGAGAATACTGTTAGATTTGGCTAAAGAAAAATTTGATGGTACAACTAATACAAATGATGGAAAAGTGTTTATTCGGCATGCGATTCAGAAAGTACAGTGTTTATTCCACAAGTGATACAGACAAACAAGCATTTTTGAAGCATGTCGACGTTGAAATAACAACTACAGAGATAGAAACTGCTCTACAAACAGCCGGCTTTCAGATCGAAAAAGTGGAAAGAATGAAAAAATAAAAGAATCATATAAGAGAACGAGAAGGTACGACAGTTAAAGTGACATTTAGCGATGCTTATGATCGCAATACTATTGTTGGTACTGGATTAAAACAAAAAGTATGCACAGATCGAGAAAAGGCGCATCTGTCTACCGCCTATTTTGAACAGGTGTACAAGGCGAGAGCAGATAATCTGCTGTTTCATAACCATGTAACGCATACTGTACGAACAAAAATAAATAATTTGAATAAAAAAAGCATCAGAAATATATCGGAAATCACTGTAAAAGAAGTCACTTATTATCGGACAAGAATTTAAAAGAGAACGATTTTCCACTTTTTGGAGAACGGTTCGCATTTTTTAGAGAACGGATATTTTTTATAGCTGAAACGAGAACGGTTAACATTGTCTGGAGAACGGTTTTTGAATTTGTATGTATGATTCATATGTGATATAGTCTCCTGATCTTGGGCAATGTCCATCTTCAGTCATCATGAATTTCCAAATTATCAAATCAGTAAAATGTACATGTTATTCAAAACAGTCAAAAAACAAGAAGTAAATTTTGAAACAAAACCAAATAATATGTTTCGATGTATGAAATAACGTGTTTTATTTCAACAATGCCAAGCGTGCCTTCTTTGGTCGACCTCGTTTTTTACCAAAGTTTTCTAATTTTGGCGGTTCTTGAACATGATAATATCCAAATGCATCATTACTCCCAATGTAAGATGATAACTATAGTTATCATAGTTTATACCATATGCTTTATTTTTAATTTCGTCAGAAAAATTCAAAACCGTTCTGCAAACAATGTAACCGTTCTCAGCTAGCTAGCGTCCCATCAGTTGGCTGAGTTGCTGTCACTAAACTGTCCTTTATTATCTTTTCAAAAGATAATCAAAGACAGATTAATGACAGTCTTAGAAAAGAGAATTTAGTATTTAGTGTTTTTTTTGTTACATTATTTTAATTAAAATTTATTATCTCTTTTGAATTTGCTTGAAAAATTTCAAAAAAATTAATTCTTTACAATGCCGCAAAAGTAGAAGAAATATCAACATTTGGACAAACGCTTATTAAAATTAATTTTAAATCTACATACACACATGACTGATCAAATTAATAATCTAGCCTATCATATTTCTTTTAAATAAGCATTTTTTTCTTGAATAAGCATTATTTTTAACTTTA